GCAAAAGAAATGCAATAAAATAGAAATCTTGCTCCAGGAATCAGAAGTAAATTCAATCATAAGGTATTTTATCAATCATAATGAATTTTTCAACTAGCACAGCAATTCAAACTTGGTGTGCTACCTTTGTTTTAGCAAGTCCAATCTGGCCCCATCAGAACATGCAGTAAAAAATGAACAAGGTGCTGTTCACAAAAGACATAACCATGTGCTCAAAATCAGCTAATCGGAGCACAACGGAATGGAAAACATTAAGCTCACTGCTTGAGACTCAGAAAAATAGCAACAGAGTGGCCAAGACATTAATGAGTCTGAATGAGTAACAGCAATTTAAAAAAAGGAAAAGAATTAAACATCCTATGTGAAGAGTCTCTAATAGCAAGGTCATATTTGCCTCTGTTCGCCAAAATTTTGTGGGTGAAATACAGTCACTCCAATAGGAATCTGTGCAATCTGGACTTCTGTATGAGGGTGAGCTTCCCACTCAGATTTCACTCAATTTCAGATTGGTCATCTGATATTGTCACGCTGTCCAACAGAAAGCTGCTTACTTTGAAAGTGACTACCGTGCAAGCAGTGCATGATACATCGTTTCACTACTGACAGTAGCCCTTTGCCCATCAAATTTTGCTGATGTGAACACACTCTGTCTACTCGATTGTAAAATGGATTGCTGTAGGCCAGTGATCAACCTATAATTTTATTTTCATTGAAATGGAAATAAAACAGTATATTGAGTTCTTAAGTATGCAATTACTCATTTTCACAACTGGTTCCTTTGGAGTGTTTATTTTGGAACCTGGCACGTTTTCTCCCATAGTTTGGTTAATTTCGCCATATATGAACATAGCAATCGCGCTCAGAGTAGCACCAAAATAATCGGTTTGAGATCCAGTCCAATTGAAAATGAACTCTGGAGCAGTGATAAGAAAGCAATCTGACCCAACAGACTTGTCAATCCGTCTTGAGTCTGTTGGGTCAGATTGCTTTCTTATCACTGTTCCAGAGTTCATTTTCAATTGGACTGGATCTCAAACCGATTATTTTGGTGCTACTTTGAGCTTTTGCTATGTTCATATATGGCGAAACTAACCGAACTATGGGAGAAAACGTGCCAGGTTCCAGGTAGCCACAGCCATATCACCCTGTAGCCCAAGACTGGTCGCTGAAGAGGTTTTAGTGAGGCCAGCAGGGGGTGCTCACCCTGTGGTCTGTGTGGTTCCTAACACCCCAGTGTAGTGATGGGGACACTATACTGTCAAAAACCACCGTCTTTCGGATGAGACGTTAAACTGAGGTCCTGACTCTCTGTGGTCATTAAAAAATCCCATAGCACTTCTCGCAAAGAGTAGGGGTGTAACCCCGGTGTCCTGGCCAAATTGCCGCCACTGGCCCTTGTCAATCTTGGCCTCCTAATAATCCCCAACCACTTGACTGGCTCCATCTCTCTCCACCTGTAGCTGGTGTGTGGTAAGCACACTGGCGCCGTTGTCCTGTGGCTGCCGTCGCATCATCCAGGTGGATGCTGCACACTGGTGGTGGTTGAGACCCCCCCACACACGATTGTAAAGCACTTTGGGTGTACAACAATAAAGTGCTATATAAATACATCATTCATTCATTCATTGATGGATGACCAGTGTGAGTGGGAGAATCCCAGAATATAACTGTACAGTTTTAAGTCCTTCTTTCGATAAAAAAAGCAAATGATCTTCTGAAAACACACTAGATTTGGATGATTTCTTAGCAAATACTCATAAATGTGATTAATTCAATTAATTAATCAGCATATCTTGATTTTATTAAAATTTTAACTCAACTGACAGCCCCTAGATTTTATAAAGCAATATGTTTTTTACTGAAAGATTACAATAAGTTTATCAACCAAGGATATAAAAAAAATATATAAATGTCACCTAACCTGGCCGCAGCGGAAGAGCGCTTTAGTGTTCTGAGGGCTGATGTCCAGTACTTTCTGACCGTAGCAAAGGGCCTTCTGGGGTTTTTCCAGTTTGAGGTACGTGAGTGAGAGGTTGAGCAGGAAAGGCAATTTCATTTCCTCAAGACACTTCTTCTCTTCTTCATCCACCGGCTCACGATTCTGCAAAAGTGTCATGGCCTGTACCATGGACCAACAGTAGTGTGACACGACTGCTACAACACAGTCTATTATTAGGTATTAGAATAAACTACAATTTTTCTTTATCCATTTACTTTCACTCTCATTTCTTAGAAACTAACAAAACAGTTATAAGCACAGAACCTGTTTGTATCGCTCTCGAGCATCTTCATAGCGCTTCTTATTGAAGCAGAGGTTGCCAAAGCTCCGCTGTGTGTCCAGTACATTCAGAAATGTGGACAGAGGAACATTGTTCTGCTCTTCCTGAGGAACAATGTTGAGATTACAATCTCTGACACAACCACCAAAAAATCATTACCATAAAAATCTTACCATACTCAAATCCATTAATTCATCCACTTGTGCCGAGTCCAGGAAATCGAGGACTTGCACCTCATAGAGGACTGTGGCTAATGGAGGTATGTGTGGGGGGCATCCAAGGTCCCCGTAGGCATATTTGGGCTTGAAAAGAAAACGGGAAAACTCGCCTTTCTTCATAGTAAGAAGACCAAGCTCTAGGCCATACAAAGTAACATCTATGGGGAAAGAGGTTAGAGTGTCTTGACGGAGGAAAAAGAAGAGATTATACAGGAGAGACTTGATTATCATTCTAATGGAAGAATTCAGTTTCCATCCTACCTCTACCAAGCTTCATCATTCGTGGAAATTTAAGGTGGCTGGTTGTCTCAAATGGTGCGTCAGAGTACTCAATGAAACCAGAGAAATGAACTGTGGATGAAATGAGTTCATGTTGGCAGCTAATGAGAAGCTAAAGAGAATCTATAGCATAAAAGTACATACACTATCAATCAAAAGTATTTTTTAAGAAATTAATACTTTTATTAAACAAGGATGCATTACATTTAAATTTAAAAGTGATAGTTAAGAAATGCATAAATGTTACAAAAGATATATATTTAAAATAATTATTTTGAATCTTAAAAAATATCAGTTTACCAAAAAAAATATTTAGCACCACAACTGTTTTCAGCATTGATAATAAGAAATGTTTCTTAAGCACCAAATCAGCATTTTAGAATGATTCGTTTTATCATCACAATAATACATTTTAATTGAAAATATATTAAAATAGAAAACATATTTAAAATTGTAAAATAAAAAAATAAATTTCACAATATTACTTTTTTTCTGTATTTTTTATCAAATAAATGCAGCCTTGGTTAGTATATGAGACTTTTAAAAAATCTTGACCACAAACTTTTGAATGGTAGTGTGGTGTGTATTCTAAGAATCATTTATTTATTTCTGCATTATTTGACTATCATAAGCAAGAAGCTAGAACTTAATAAAACCACCGTGTTCATTTCAGTCATTTACTTGATACAGAGGCATGCTTGGGTACGGGTGGACCTTCTCCTGCATGGACGACCTCTTTGAGAATTCCTCCATCCCCTAATATGTCTTGCATTTGCCAAGACAGACGCTGGAATGGAGTCTAAGACAAAAAGAAAAAGAAAGAAAGAAATTACTACAAAATGTTTTAAACTTTCTTAATTCATGTTAAAGCTACATTTTTTGAGCCAAGCAAAAAACTTTAACCAACCATGTAACACTGTAATATATAATATAGCATTAACTCCCACTACCAAAAAAAAAACAAAAAAAACATGAGACTACATTTCTTGACATACTACCATATTTCTGGACTATGTTAACTTGGTAAATCTTTTGCTTTTTTGGAAGAATCTTGGAGTACCACATAAACTCATGCCACGTGAATATGGCAATTGTTCAGTATTGTTATATTAAAACATCATGGAATTACCAGCTTATATCATCATTAGGCTATATCATGGCACAACAGCAGTATTCTTTTGTTATAAGGGGTATCGGTTACCCTAGGCGGGATGAAGAGACACTACTGAAAATACTTAAATGTATATTTTAGTAACATGGTAGCTCACATGGTACCAACCTAAAATGTTTGCACTGATCACGTCAATGTCAGGTCAAATCCAAGCCTGTGGCCACCTCCAGATACATAACATGTGGAGGTTAACAAGCTCTTAACCTTGTTATCAATTCTAGACTACGCATTTTGTCTTGTAGTGGCGTTGTAGAGAACTAACGTTAATATAAATCTCATATAAACACATATAAAGAGAAGTAAATTGCTTGCTGGCGCGTTCTGTTGTAAATTGATCATGCATCATTAGAAATTAGCCAGCTCTTTCACTGCAGTGCAGTTAACGTTACCTCGATTCCAAACTGACGGCGCTCATCTGGAGCTATGAACTGTAATATTCTCGAGGTCTTGCCGTTTGTTGACATTGTGCATGTGTTTTTAGGCCAAAAACACTTTCAAAAGAGGTCAATCTGCAAGTGTGGATTGGACTCAGAGAATCTGTTACTGCCAGTGTGCGCGACACCTGCGCCAACTAGCGGCCGTCATTTTAATATTGAAATTAGCCTACTGTTGTTTAATGAAACAAGCCACAAGACACATGTTTTTACCAAGAAGTGTCGTTAGGTCACCTGTGTACATACATCTGCGCTATTTTACAAAAACTGTTTTAAGTAGGTGGGGAAAACGAGGCTTCGTTGACAATCCGTTAGTGAATAGGAACTGACTGAATCGGTTCACAAAACCTGTCTGGAGGCGTTATCCAAAGAGACTGACTGCACGATTCATTCAGGAATCCAACTGACTTACGCGAACAGAGAAGACAACTGTAATTATGTTTTTGACTTGACTGTATGAGAATTTAATCAATGTATGAAACAGAATTGGTTGTTTAATGTTAATGCAAAATATATCATAAAAAAAAGCCACGCTGAAATTTCTGGAACCACGTGATGGGGCGATTACGGAATGACGTGTTTAAACTGGTTCACGTTCGAAATGTGTTCAAAAGAATCGATTCGCAGGACTTCCCAATGGTTTGACTAGTTTTACTACCACGCGTTGAGGAAATCTACTTGTTACGGACATGTAAATACAAGACTCGGATCCAAAAAGAATCTACTTTGGAAATAACCGCTGCATTCAAGGAAAAGTACAATAGTTCTTGTGAACACACAACCAAGAGAGATTTTAATGTGAATCATCTTTTTTGTTTTGAAGACACACACTAGTGGGTGAAAATTAAGTTGTTGGTCCAATAAAAGTGTAGACAGTGCTAATGTCCTTAGAGCAGATGTTTTCTAGAGCAGCTCAACAGTTTAAATATCATTAACATACATTTTCTTACAGAATGGTTAGTTTCTTGAATATTAATCTTTAAACAAGTTTTTCAATGAAGACGCTTAAGTTTTGACATTGTTGACAGGTTTACTCAATAATAATAATACAGTTTAGGACGTACTGACAAATTCAAACATAACATTAACACGAGATTTTTTTTTATTTTTTTTTTGTGAAAATACAGGGTTTTATTGATTGCAGCTATTTAGGAGGTATATCCCCAGGCCCTTAACCAGCTATGAGGCCACCGAGGTCCGGACCTCGGTAAATGTTTCATGTTCAAAAATAAAAATGTGTTCTTTGAATGACTAATTTGCTGTTAAACTCCTCATATGAATGCCTGCATGACATGTATAATTCATTTTAGACAGTTTGCAAGAATGTTTAGCGTCCCTGGTATGAAAATGAACGCGGCTTGAGAGAGTTGTGAGTGAGGGCGCAGCCTCCGTGTTGCCAGATCCAGCTATTATAAGCGTTTTGGACTTGTCTTTTCCACTTAATTTAACACTTTAGAACGTTAATAAAGTAGGAAGTTGCAGTTTAGAGTCAGCGATATCTTTATCTTATCTTATTTGCAAAAGACCATGGACAGGTTTTTGCTGACAGGATACGACATTCGGTAAGGGAAACGCAAAAATGATCATGATATTATCTGTCTTAAACGTTATCAACACAGTCAAAAACAGTAGCATTTAACACTAGTACACACAGATCTGTAGAACAAGTAGGTTACAGAATGAATTGAAATACGCAAAAACTAGCCATGAAGAATAAAAAAATAGAATGAACATACAAATTAAACAATTTCAAACAGGGCCCACTGGTACAACCTGCACTGGGGCCCCGCAAACCCCAGCTACGGCCCTGCTTGTCACAAGGGAAAGTATTCACTGTGACAACTTGCCCCAGCCTCCCCTACTGCTAAGCCATACCACCTGCTGTTGTAGGTATAGGATGTCCAAACTTGTCAGTGTTGAAATTGACTAATGTAGCTATAACCACTTGTACCTGTAACCACAGTGTGTTGGGGCCTGAGGTGAGAACATATGATTTCTTAAAAAAAAAAAATTCTACCAAGAACCCTTTCAAATGAAATGGTAAACAGATAAATAGTCTGTCACTGTTTCCTGAGAATGAGCATGTTATTTATGGTCTGTTTCAATGAATTACCTAGTGATTAGTGGAAGTGGAAACACTAAAGCAAATAAAGGAGGAAGCGCTGCTAAAGTGGAGTGAGAAGGAGGAGCTGCATACCATCTTGAAGTGCCATATACGGACTTTGCTCTCACTTCACCTGTTTTCATTCACTCTTGCTGCATCGCCAGAATCAAGCACAAATACAGGCTCCAACGCGATACTGCTGCAGTATGGTGAGTTTATGCATGCAAACAATAAGAATGACAGCATTCAGTGACATTTCTATACAGTTTAAGGAATAGCTTATTTCTCTAACATTCTAGTAAGCTGAGCAATATTTTGAAATGCCATTATGTGATGTTATGCAACATATTATGGCCAAACACTTTCTTATCAGTGCAATAAAGGCATACAGTTATCAGATGACAGTACAGATTACTGAATGCATTATTTGACCATTTGCACCTTAAGACAGCAAAATATAAATACCATTTATAGATATGCAGTGGCCCTGAAATGACATTTAAGCCTTACTTAAAATATATGAATGTCATTGCATTTGATACAAAATAATAAACCAGATGTCATTTATTTTAAACAATGACTGCACAAGCACACTATACAAAAAGTTAGTTCATTTTAATTATTTAAAATTATTGCATTGCTTTATGGTTGTCAGATGTTAGCGGATCACGTTTATAGTTAATATGATGTTAATATAGTTAATATAGTGGTTATTTTGCTAATCCAAATCTATTCCTGTACTCCTCTATTAATCATGTAATTAATTATCTTGTATTATGTAAGTTTATTCTGTCATATATAAATAATGTTATGTTTCTAATAGGTTTTTATGTATTAAAAGCATCAGAGAGACAAAGTACTTATATGCAGCATGTTGTATACACTAAGGAAACATGTCACCCTAAACTGTCGATTTAAAACTCTGTTTTAGGATAATATTCAGAATGCTAAGAGTGAGACAGAGGAGGTGAAAGTTGCTATGCTGGAAAATGAAAATAAAGCAGAACAACCCAAAGATGTCAATCAAAAACCTGAAAAGCCTCAGTGCACCGTAAGTACAGTGTCTCCTTAATGTATAACATGATTCTTGTCATTTCTAGAGTTAATATCATTTGTGACCCTGGACCACAAAACCAGTCATAAGGGTCAATTTTTCGAAATTGAGATTTATACATCATCTGAAATCTGAACAAATAAGCTCTCCATTGATGTATGGTGTGTTAGGATAGGACAATATTTGGCCGAGATACAACTATTTGAAAATCTGGAATCTGAAGATGCAAAAAAATTTAAATATTGAGAAAATCGCCTTTAACGTTGTCCAAATGAAGTTCTTAGCAATGCATATTACTAATCAAAAATTAAGTTTTAATATATTTACAGTAGGAAATTTACAAAATATCTTCATGGAACATGATCTTTACTTAATATCCTAATGATTTTTGGCATAAAAGAAAAATCAATAATTTTGACCCATACAATGTATTTTTGGCTATTGCTACAAATATACCCCAGTGACTTAAGACTGGTTTTGTGGTCCAGGGTCACATTTAATAGTAATTATTTCATATGGATGTCTTTTTGTTTAAGTTTACTCCGAGAGCTCAAGATTTGTGCCAAATGCTCAAGCATGCGCGTCTCAACAACTTATGTCTGTTTGTGTTCATTAATGTGACAGTCATATTATTTGCTATAAATTGAACATATAAACATTATTACTCACAGTATTCTATGAATTGCAATTATCAACAAAGCCTTACTGTGGAAGGAGAAACTGATACACTTTTCAACTTTGTGTTAAAAGAGCTAATTCATAATCTTAATATGTTCTATTTTCATTTCAATTTCAGAGGAAAAAATGTAAGGAATCTGCTGTGAACCAGAAGATGGAGTACCTGCGGGCTAATAAAGGACTCATAGCCACTGTATTGATTTCAGCTGCTCTTATATTTGCTGTTGTGGTTGCCATGCTTGCCACTACAGATGGGCACAGTCACTCAGCGCACAACACAAAACACATTGTGCACGTGCATAATGTCACAGAAATGCCATAGCAATAGCTGCAGCAGACTAGAAGGATAAATCAGTTTGACCAGCACTGTTATTTTATTTATTAAAAAAAAAAAGTCTTTTCATTTTAGACAGTTTCTGATATTGATTATGTTTTATGTTATAAAGTGTCATCTGAATATGACATTTTCCAGCATAATTAAAGGTGTAGTTCAGCCAAAAATTAAAATTTGCATTGTTTACTCACCCTCATGTTGTTCCAAACCTGTATGTTTTTTTATGTTATATGATAAATATCTTTGTCCATTCAGTGAAAGTCCAATGGGGTCCAAAACAACATTGGACCCTACTGACAATTCTTCTTTTGTGATCCACAGAACAAAGAAAGTCAGGTTTGGAATGGCTTGAGAGTGAGTCTGACAGAATTTTAATTTTTTTATGTGAACTTTCCCTTTAGGAATGCATGTTTAACTTAATGTTACTGTACCAATCTGCTGTTGCGTTCTCTAAAGCTCATTAGTTTCACTTTGTCATATAAACATGACTTGGCAGGAACGGCTATCAAGAAAAACACATTCCCCATGAAAACTGTGCTGATAGTTTGGTATGTAAACACAAGGAGATGTGATTAAAAGCAAGGGCATTTTCTGAGGTCAAGTGCGCAATATCCTTTTTGTTCTACGAAGTGACAGAAGGAGCACAAATGCCATTTTTGTTTTTGCTGTGGTTAGTAGTCATCTTAAACACATGCTTTTTGTTTGAGGCTAAAGATTTTATATATCTTTTTCACAACCAGATTTTGTAATGTTGGAAACAAACCAGCTCAAGCTGTCATCGTGTTTTGTTCAAAAATTCTATGTAAATTCCTCAAAAATAAATGCAGAAATCTATTATAATCTGCTGTTATCATTGAATCAGCTTTAGTGCTTCATGTTTTCTTGAGTTTTTTTAACAGCAAAGTGTTGACAAATCAGTTCACATTCAAATACCTAAACAAATTGATGGTCAAAGGGATTCAGGCAGCCGAGTCTAGTTGCTTCATAAGACGCTTTCTTTACTTGAATTGAATCAAACTGAACTATTGTCTTCTGTGGCGCTGCTCTACAGCTGAATCACATCTTTCAACATCAGACTGAACTCAATCAACATTGAACTGGCTAAAGCTGAGTAACAGAACTGCTTATAGTTGAACTGTATTTGCTTCAAAATTTGATTTAATTCACACTGTTATCACATTGAGCCAAGTCTAAACTGACTTGATATGAACAATGACACTGTTGTACTTTTGAGCTGCTTTACTGCAGAATGTCTCCATAGTTGAGTTTCCATAATTGATTCTGCTATTTTTCCTGTTTATCACTGTAAAGCTGCTTTGACACAATATGTACACAAATAAAGGAGACTTTACTTGACTTCCTAAGTAAGGAATGTGAATATTATTCTCATCATTCATCTGAATTTCTTTAGGACACTGTAAGAAAAAAAAAATCGTAGAAAACGGATACTATCAGAAAATGCATTTTCCCTCAAGTTTACTGATGTTTCCTTCAACCCTAACACACAACACATTTCAACATATGGGAAAGAGCAGTACGGAAAATTCATTTTTCTTAGAGTGTACTTTACTTTCATTACACTAGCCTATATATCGCTGAAAGGTAGGCTCATGTTCTGGAATGTTATGTAAATACACTTTGATATTAGTGGTCAAAATATTAATACAAAACCATGCAATATGAAATCTACATTGTCCAGAATTGTCCTGCCTTGAAATTCAATTTGTGTTGAGGAAAACACTCAATCCAAACATTCAGCTCTATTTTAATCACCTTTCTCAGTAAGCAAAACAGAGGAGGAGAATACTAAGGACTGCTCATCCAGAAAACCTTTTTGTATTCAAAGCAGAGCTTTTCCATTGTTTTTTCTGCAATATTAAACATGCACTATATTGACTGTGCCTAAAGCTATATCTGTTATAATGACTGTTATTGTAATTGTAACAGAATACAACCTAGCTGTCCCTTTTTCACTCTATAAAGTACACTTTCTTTTTATATCCACAGTTAATTTTTTTTTTTAAGATGACAACAAAAGCTAGATTTTTTTTCTAACTGACATGAAAGTGGGTAGTTTGTGGAGTTTGCATGTTCTCCCCGTGTCTGCTCTGGTTTCCTCCGGGTGCTCTGGTTTCCCCCAAGACACGCAGCATCACGTGAATAGGACACTGTGAAAATTGCCCATAGTTGTGTCGTGTGTGAGACTGTGTGTGTTTTTGAAATGTCTTTTAATTTGCATAATTTATTTTTCTTTTCTTTTTGTGAAAACAGCACATGCACAGAGCAAGAACAAACAGCAGAGGGCACCTGTAAACGTATTTTAAGTTTATGTGTTTCAAATTCATAATGATGAGCTTTTTACACTATATTATTATTATTATTATTATTTTATAATTACTGTATAATTATCTGTAAAAATCATATGTAATTTTGTTTCCCTCTCTTTTTTTCCCCCTTAGTCATTTATCCTAACATATGTGACCCTGCACCACAAAAGCAGTCCTAATACCTAAGTAGCACAGGTATATTTGTAGCAATAGCCAACAATACATTGGTCAAAATTATTGATTTTTCTTTTTTGCCAAAAATCATTAGGATATTAAGTAAAGATATTTTGTAAATTTCTTACCGTAAATATATCAAAACTTCATTTTTGATTAGTAATATGCATTGCTAAGACCTTTATATGGACAACTTTAAATCCGATTTTTTCAATTTTTTTTTTTTTTTTGCACCCTAAGATTCCAGATTGTCAAACAGTTGTATCTCGGCCAAATATTGTCCTATTGACCATAATGACTGGTTTTGTGGTCCAGGGTCACATATTCACATTTGGTCAAAGAGGTGTGACCTGCATAAATTAGGACTATGCAAAAATTCCAGATTTTTGAAGTGAAGTGTCCCATATTGTCAAAAGCGGACAAGAAAAATATTTTTAGCACTATAAAACACATTCAGTCCAGTAGGCACATATGTAGCTTATTTATTTATTTATTTAATTCATTACAGTTTTTTGTAATTGCTTAGACACTAAAAGTGATACTTGAGGCCCACATAGTGAAACCATTCACTCATATACCTCATCTTTAGACCAAGTCTGCAAAACTACAAGCACATGCTTTAAACTCAGTTTGATATTGTAAAACAAACTACATTACGCACATCAACAAAAACTAACATTTTAATGCCACACGCATTTACTGATGACCTACACACAGTGATCATGTGTGAAAACACTTAAACGTAATTTGTTCACTTAGTAATCAAAAGTTTTTTTTTTTTTTAGAAAAAAATATTTTTTACCCCCTTCTTTCTATTTACAGTGTATCTATACAAAGCGCTTTATCAATAAAGCTGACTTTCTGACTTCGCTTATATACAGTATATATATATATATACACACATACACACACACACACACATACACACACACACACACACACACTGAATATGCATCTGTGTTGTATGCATTTTCAGTATATCTATCTATCTATCTATCTATACTGAACATGCATACAAGCCAAATCAGAAAGTCAACTTTATTTCTAAAGTACTTTATTCAATATAGATTGTTTCACAACAGCTTCACAATAGTATCAAATTCACATTCTGCTGTAAAGCAGCTCTAACAAGTCAATAGTGTAATTTTACAGCTCAAGTCAGTTCAGTATTGATTCAGTTCAGTTGCATAACTGTGTAAAATTAATCAGTCATACACGCTGTATATACAGTGTATATGTGCATATGCAGGGCAGGACTTACGGGGCCGGGGGCCCCTAGGCTTGAGGTTATGTTTGGGCCCCATACCTATACATACATATACAAAAATTAAAATATGCTTTCAGGTTCATATACTGTATACAAAATTCTTAAAATTAAAGTTACAAAAGTTATTCAGTCAAGAGCAGTGAGTGATTTTGTCTTTTGTTGTTAACATTAATTAACAATAACCAATAATTAATTAACATTGCTAACATTAACATTTGGTATGAAAGTGACAGCAGTTTTTAGTATACCTGCTGTCTGTCAGTCTGTGTTAAAGAACAAAAGAAAAAAAATCACTCTGCTCAAATCTGCTCTTGACTAAATAACTTTTTCATATTTAATATGGAATAATATATAAATATAATCTATATTTATGACTTTATACATCATAGTATTTTGTTCCTGAATAGTAGCAGCTACTGTTAGTTTTAGGCTATAGCCTACCTGAAAAAGTTAAAGCACAGTTTGTTTCATTTGTATCCTTGTGCTATTGCATTGCTAGTAACTTGTTCATTTATTACTGACCGTTTAATTGTCTTTATGTAACATTATTTATTAAAATGCAAGGTTACTTGAGTCAGAAACAATGAAAACAATAACTTTTTCTTGAGGTGTTTGCGATGCGGCTTCATGTGCTCGGCGCTTTGGATGTGACCGTGAGCGGGGTCCCCTGGGCTGCAGCCCATTCAAGCCCAATGGTAAGTCCGGCCATGTGCATATGCATGTACAGTATGTGCGAGTGCTATGACAAACTCCTGTTCTTCACTGCACACTGAAAAAGCAAAAGACACACCAGAGTAGTGTTTTACATTTTTCACATCTGTGTGTAGTTTGGTGTGTATGTGGCTAATTATTTTATGTTTGTGTGTAGAGTTACTTGGGTGCATCTGCTGACAATATGAACAAAACATTACTTTAATGAGTTTAAAAGAAATAACAATCCATTGTAATCAAATAAAATATCACATAAAAAGCCTTTACATCAATTTAGTTAATTGAATGTGATTAATTTTACTGAAATAGTAATCTCAGGCACTTAACAATTTGGTCAAATGGTTGTTTGAAAGCCTTTACAGATGCCTTCCCTAGTGAAAAATAAATATACAAAAATGTCTTTGAAATACATTTATTTCATGCTATACTACAAATACAGTTACATATTATTTACATATCACTAAACTGGTATACTTAAAGTTTGCTAAATTGGAACAACTAATTTTGTACTTAATGCACTTTAATTGTAAGAAAGTAGTACTGAAGTCTAACTAAAGATAAACTGAAGGATATTTGATTGTGCTAAAAGTGAAACTATTACAAGTATACTTTAGGTACAGTTTAAATATCATGCATTTAAAGACCGATATTATTCGAAGATCATACAGTCCTCATCAATAGTGACATTAAAGCACATTTTAGGCTTAATATTGAGAAATGTGCATTGTGCTTAAGTAGTACTCCAAATAAATTTAATTATAATTTTTTATATCAGTAAGTATCGAGTGATATGTCAGTAAATAGACAATAAATAAAGTAAATAAAATGTTAATAGA